AGAAAGCTTGTCCAAACCAATTTGTTATATCTAAAGTCTAAAGAAATTTAAGATGCAAGCGTACGCAAGAAGAACTACTAAGCCAGACTAAGCCCGCCATTCGCCAGAAGTCGAAAGACATGTGATACATTGATAGATATTAACCCCCAAGACATGTGATCCTGATAGCCGTGGATCCGTTTGGATCGGCGGAAAGAAAACCTTCACCAATGGAACCAGAGCACCAGAACGAACGGATTGGATCCGTCCTCCCATCTCAGATGCCGTCGACCTCCGCCGGGCCGGAGCCGCCTTCCGCCCCACGCGGAGTCCTGGCGGAAGGAATTCGTCGGGTGGCCGAAGGCTTCTCACGGTTCCGTGGAGGTCGCATCGGTCCAGATAGGCTCTGGATATGTAACAACTGCATGGAGAAGATCAGGTGCTTTAACGATGTTTCACTACGACTTTCAAGTGTGTTTTCTTCAAGTGTTGAGGTAATTCATTTCAAAGTTGGTGTTCTTTTTGGCTATGAAATGCTGTGACCGGGCAGATTCAAAGCTCCAACAGAGTTGGTCAGTTGGTCAATGTTTTGCTTTTCCAGGCAGTACAAGGTTGGAACGAGAGCAGACCATGACATGGAACAGTTCTATCAGGTGACCTCGGAGCCCTTCATGGCTTAAGAAACCCCTAGGCAACTAGAGCCGGGCGACTGCGAGCCCCCCCATGGAAGTTGGCGAATGGACTCGGCTGGAATGCAAAGGTGAGCTGCTACCTGCTCGATGGTTGCACTCCTGCATTCTCTGGGGGGGATGAACTGGTGATCTTCGGAGGTAAGGGCGACAGCTACATGGGAGACCTCTGGAGCTTGGATCTAAAAACTCAAATCTGGAAGCAGCTGAAGCCCAAGGGCCACCCCCCCAACGCCTCGCTACGGCCACTCGGCCATCCTGTGGAACTCCGGCATGATCCTCTTCGGGGGATACGACGGTGGTCGTTGGCTCTCCGACACGTTCCACTTGGATCTGCGGTCGTTGGAGTGGTCTGAAAAGGTCCCGACCGGCGAGGTGCCTAAAGGACGGGACGAGCATTCAGCGGTGCTTTGGGGCGATGCGATGTTGATGTTTGGTGGAACTGGCGGAGGAGGAGGAAAGTTCTTGAACGATACCTGGACGTGGAACCTCCGCTCTGGATTGTGGCAACAGCTGGTCCCTAAGGGTGACATGCCAGCGGGAAGATGTGCCCACTCTGCAGTGCTGTGCAACGACCGCATGGCGGTCTTCGGTGGACTTGGCAGCGCACTCACCGTCCTTAACGACGTGTGGATGTTCAGTCTAGAAACCCATCGATGGGAGCGCTTCAACTGCGAGGGCCACGTGCCGGAGGGACGCTGCAGACATTGCGCCGTGATGTGCGATGACCACATGGTGGTCTTTGGTGGAGCTGGCCGCAAAAAACCACTTCGACACGTGTAGTTTGCACCTAAGAACCGGAGCCTGGACTCTCCATCAAGACAAAGCTGACCATCCACCCGGCCATCGCTTGCACACAGCAGTCCTTTGGAAAGACCATCTGGTCACCTTTGGTGGTGTGGACGCCTCTGGCAATGGTCAGCACAGCACCTGGAGCCGGGAGTTCATCGCCACGTCCGCCGAAGCCATGTTCGCAACCGCCGTCACCCCGCCGTCGCCCACGTCCTCTCTGCGCCACTGCGGCAGCTCGCTGGGACGCGAGGCGCTGCCTCCGACGCCGCGACAGGACACGGAGATCCTGGCGGCCATGCGTGGTGTGGACCTCGCCGAGGTGCTCGAGGCCTGCGCGGCGATGGCGGCGCTACCGGAGAACGCCGGGGTGCCTTGGGCAACGCATGTGTGTGGGTGTTTTTCCCTGTGGCGTGGGATGTTGTCATGCCACAGGGGCGTAGGTAATTGTAGGGACATCTTCTTGGAGACCTGCGAAAGGAAGAGCTTCGCCTTCGCAAAGATCACACTGTTCAAAGAGAAGAGACGCTCCTGGACAGCCGTTCATGATCTCTTTAGGGACGCTTCGTGACCTCTTTAGGGACGATTCGTGACCTCGGATCTCAAGGACGGTCACAGGCTGTAGGTCCTGGCTGTAGGTTGTCAAGTTAGCCCATTTCTCCTCAGAACATCAGAAATTGACCGCTCAAGCACATCCCAGTCCTCACATTCAGCTGTGTGTAGTAAGTTGTTCCAAGACTTGCTCATTCGACTGCTCCTGGCAGTTTGCATCCCTTTTCGACTGCTCCTGCTAAGATGGTTGTTCCTGCCTCTTTGCACCTGTGACTGTCGTGTGTGCCTCGTCTCTTTTTCGCCCATGAGGTGCAAAAATGGGGCTGCATCAAGCTGACACACTGCACAGACCACGAGACGCTGGCAGCTGATGCGCTGCAGCTCGTGGTGGCAGCGCTCAGGACGCATTGGACCAATCCGCAGGTTCAAGACTGGGCTTCCCGGGCTTTGGCGACTCTATGTGCCTTGGAGGTTGTTTAACAAAGTGTTTGATGAAGTTGGTTGTCCATCCAGTTACTGTATTCCTTTTAGCATGCTTTTTGGCAGCTGGTTTTGCACATGCTCTGTGTGCTTCATGATTGGGTTTCTTGAGTTCGCTGTTCTGTTTGTATGAAGTTCCAGCGCCGTCACAAGAAACATCAAGAGAAAATCGTACTCCCTTCCAGGAGTCACAAGACGGGTTGGTTTCTAGTCCCTGAGTGAGTGGATGTTCTGGGCGCCCCTATTCTCCAAGTTCAGCACCCCTTCTTGTGACTCCTGGTTTCTAGGGACATGCCTTGAAGACAACCTTCCAGCAGTCATAAGACGGGGTGCTATCCATGGAGGTTTGGGGTGCCACTGTCACATCCACTCACTTGGGGACGTTTCACACCACCCCCGTCGAACGTGACTCCTGGTTTTAAACAGACCTTTGGGAAACAAGAACGGTCTGACCTGGGTTTCACTTGCGAGGCTCCGGCATGGACCGCACCTCTTGCGCGCGGAAGGAGGAGGCCGTGGCCGAGGGAGCCCTGGAGGCTCTGGTGAAGTCCGCCCGGTCTAAAGAAGCCACTTGGCTCAGAAAGTGGGATTTCATCATCCGTGTTCTGCTTTCGGTTGCTATTTAGCCTCAATTTCGATCAAATGTATATGATCAGTGCATGATTCCTTTTTTTTTCTGCTTGTCATCCTCCGTTTCTGCTTGACTTGCGAGTCCAGTTGGCTTCGTCAATGTCTTGGCCCAACAAGTGTCGGGTACAGATCCATCTCTCGATCGAAACCGTGCGTAACGGCGTAACCCGTTCGTTCGGACTCAAACCGTTCGTTCGTTCGTTCTGGGAGGGGAGCAGGAGGGAGTGAAAACTCTCCACTCCAACATGAAGAGCTACTCTTTCGGAGGGTTCCAACAGGCAGGTCCACATCGGCTGAAAAAGCGCCTTCCTTTTTGAGAAATCCATCCAATCCGGAAAGAAAAGCTCACGAGACGCTCGGACCTCCTCGGTGGTTTTTCAGGTGACCGTCAAGCGCTCCGCCATCGGCGCCTTGGGCACCTTGTGCTGCGGTGAAGACGTGGGTCGTCCGCAGCGGGTGATGCGAGCGCTGGAAGCTCAAGCACTGGAGATCCTGCAGCAGACGCTGAAGATGGACGACTCCTCCAGGACGATTCGCGGCCAGCGGTCCGAAACGACAGCGGTCCACGGTCGAGACGGCGGAGACGCAGAAGTGGTCCTCCGGTGTTGGGGCACGGACGGACTCGGCGCGGGAAGCAACGAGGGGGTTTGGGGGGGGGGGGCCTGAAGCAGACCAAGAGAGGTCACAAGACACACTCAGCTTCTGGGTTGCTAAGAGTCAAAGAATGTTTGGCTGCCTTTGAGAGAGAAGGACTTCGATCGTCGATATACCTAGAACCATCTAGAACCTCTCTTGGCAGACATTTCTGCATGGGTAAAGGCGCCTTCGTCCGTGGGTGTTCTTGCTCCCTATAGGCGTTCTTGTCCCTCTAGACCTCTAGACGTTCTTGTTCTTTTGGTGGCAATGCTCAAATAGATGAGGATCCACCCACCACTGGTTTCAGGAACTTCCATAGTGATGAAGTAGATCACTTTCTGCAATAATAATGAACTTGGGCGGAAACGATTGCCTGACGAGGGTCTAGGTATTCATTCACCAAGGTGGTCGAAGGATGGCTTCAGTAAGCTTTACTGATCGAAGTGGGTTGCGCCAGCCAGGTTTGGAGCATCAGTGGGGTGCTAACTCCTTGTACCCTTGTAACCTATACTATAGCGATGGCCTCCACCCGACTAGCGATGGCCTCGAGATGGTGTTGATCCGAACATCGGACGTTTGCCAGTCCTCGCACCAGGCGTCGACGAGATGGTTTGACGGTCAAATCCAAAGGAGCCGAGCCACCCGGTTCAGGGTCCAACCCCGAACTCCCACAGACCTCCTAAGGGGGGGGGCGAGGAGATCTTTGACCTCATCGTCTTTCTGGATGGAACTGGACACCTCTCCAACTCCACAGTCTTTGCCATAGATCTCAAGAAATGACCTGTGTTTCGGACGGACGGTTGAAGTGTTTTTTACGTGTTGCACCATCCCAGCCGCATCAGCCCGGTTGGTTTTCTGCTTGGACGACGCTTCTCCATCACCATGCGCTCGGTTGCGGCGAGGACCATCCGGAAGGTCTTCGCTGCTCTGGCGCAGTTGATGGAAGCCGCTCCCGAAGAGGTCTCCAGTGGCGAGACGCTGGAGTTGGTCATCTGGCGGCAGTTGGCACTGCTGTGGGACTGTGGAGTTGGCCCTATTCCTTGGGACTCGAAAACTCAAGGCATTCAAAGGCCCCCCCAGTCACCAAGTCCTTCCGTTTGGTGGAAGAGAAGTCCTCCATGAAGTCCTCCACTGCCCCAGAAGCTCCAAAAAAAGACACACGGAGGTGCTGTTTGTAGAATGTTTGGTATATATGTTCCCGACTGACTGAAGTCATCTTAAAACTGACGCAAGGAGGTGTATGCTTCTTATGACACTCAAGTGCCAATGGTTCCCAAACAATTCGCAAGTTCCACAGTCTCTGTGTGTCCCACACACCCCAGGCCGGAATGCTTACATTGATCCCTGAAACCACCCCAATGTAAGTGAATATGCCAGTCCCATGGAGTGTCTGGGTTTTGAGTTGCATGTTCCACGGCGCCTCCAGGTTCCCAAACAGACTCTTTTGTGTGGCATTCGCCGTCGCATGCAAGGTCGAGAAAGCGATGGCCGTTCGACATGACAACCTGGAGATTCAACAGGTTGGTCGTCACATCCAACAGGCCTTGGCACGTGGAGAAGAACCGCCTCTTTCAACTATTGACTGTGCCTGACTCACTGATCATCGCTGTGTGTTCCAGAAAAAACCGGTTCTCACCAATTCTCATCCTTTTTTCCTCCTCATCCTTCAAGCGGACCCAAAACACCGGAAAAAGCACCAAAAAAAAAACCAGCAGGTGGCCGTGCCGCGTGACTGCGCCAAAGAGAAGCCCAGCTATTGGTCTGGGCGAGCGACAGACGCGTCGGGCTGGAGCGTTTGCCCCGTGACGGATGCGACCACGTTGCAGCCTGGCGGAGAGATGCGCGTTCGATGCGCGCTTGTTTGTGAGCGAGGTGCGGTGCGATGACATGGTGCGCGGTGCGCTTTTTGATGTGGTTTAATCTTGTTGTTTGTTCCTTTTTTTCCGGAGATGGTCCTGAAGAATGGAAGTTAAAGGGCATGTTTGTGGATTTGGGATGAAGGGCCACATGCGTTCGTTAGTTCCAAGTGGATTTCCCTGTGAGAAGATCTACTCGCTCGGGTGCAGAGCAATGGCGGAGCATCGGCATTTGTTAGATTCCCCAAAGTTGGATGTGTTGGGTTTCATTCAGATGCCACAACTGGCCAAAGAAGAAGTTGATACTTCTTTGATGCATGGAATCGATCGACCATGGTGGAAGATCCATCTGTTCAGAAATACTGACAGAATTGTGCTAACTCTATGTAGGGGGGGGTTTATTCATCAGTGCGGAACTTTGCGTCCCTTTATTTCAGGTCCGAGTCCCGGCATATGAATCAGTCCGGTCAAGAAACCACCCAAATTGAATGTGTTTTTTAGACACGACACATGGGACTGGCATCATTTACCTATACATTGAAACCTGGTGATCAACCACCCCAAGCGTCTGTATGGATTCAGATGGCAGTCCCATGTGTCGGGTCGTGTCTGGGTGTGTTTTGGGGGGCGCTTCGTCTCGAGGTGCTTCGACCGAGAAAGCGAAGCGTCCGAGACGCCAAGGAATGCGCTGAGAAAGATGTTCCTCGTGGACCACCCCGAGGACCTCGGTAAGGGCAGGGATGCAGACAAGTATTCCTGGGAAGCTCGGCGCTTTTTTCAGATGTCTTATATGGTGACGGGTGTCTGTTTGTTTGTTTATTTTTTTCGGCGGAGAAGATCCCCAGCCACGTGGATTTTTCCTCCCCCCAAGTTCGATGAGATGGCTTTGGTGATGTGGTTGTTATGTTCATGCATGATTTTTTCTCGGCTGATGTTTTCCCCCTAGGTCTGGCTTCGATTATGGCAGATATGATAGCTCTTGAATCAGGCTAGAATTAGTTGTGTCTCCGATAACAGAACCCACCTTTGGCAACCCTTTTGGGGGGAACAAACATGGACAGATTGCTTGCCACACAAGTCTTCGTGGGTTGGACAGACTCCTTGATCGATCGTTTTTTCCTGTATTGGATTGATCTCAAGTTGCGGTGACCTCTGACCCCAAGAGCTTTTGGGGTGTTCTCTTGTCCTGTGCCTGTGTCAGCTTCTGGCAGGTCTGTTTATTCTCAAGCAAATCCAAGGAATACGATAACCTGCAGATCCACTACGCCTGGCGTGTGGAGCATGAAGATTGCTGGGACCTCTATGCCATTGAAAGAGCAAAGACTCAAAAAAATGCTCAGACGTCTTCGGCAGCAGGGCGTGCCCATATCACCA